TCCTTTATTTGGGGACTTTCTTGCAAAAAGTTTGCCTCTGATGCTATCCACTCACCCTAACCTCTGTGTTCAGAAAATTGCCCTAAGCCCCAATATCAATAATAATAGGCAATAGTTATCGAATGCCTACTAAGCCCTGTGCTGAACATGTTACATGGACTGTTTTAGTTATTGCTCAAGACAGCTACCAGGGAGGTGTTTACAGAAGGGGAAATTTAGGCTTGGGAAGATGAAATGAGTCACATGGTTAATGAAGACCTGGCATTTGAGCCCTATCGTTCTGACTCTACTGCCTCAGTGTTAGCCTCTCGACTCTCTATTATCTGTTCAAAGCCCACTGTCACCCTGGCACTGCTCCCCTGGTGCCAGGATCCATTGCTTCTGAGAATCCAGCTTGATCCCTCGTTATCTCCTGAGTTGCATGCCAATATCAGTCTTGTGCTATTGGACAGAGTAGATTGCAGTCTAAATAAAAACGGTTACCATGTTTTACCAGTCTTCCAACTCCTGCCCCCTCACCCCCCACCCCAGTCACTGTGCTTGATGCTTCTTGCTCCTTATCTCATTCCATCCTCAAAGAAACCCTAGGCAGTCACTATTACATTGCCTGTTTTATTGACAAAGAATCTCAAGCTCAGAGAGATCAAGTAACTTGCCTGAGATCACACAGCTAGCAAATGGCAAAGCTGGAGTCCAAATCCAAGTTGGCCTGATGCAATCATCTCTCAAATGCCCCCACTTCCCCTCCATGGTCACCGGGCAGCAGGTCCCAACCCTCTGACTTCAGGATTTGGAGACATCTTACTGCATTTGGGAACCCAATTATTCAGTCAATCATTTAGTCAGCTCATTTAGTATTTCCTGAGTACATCTGTCAGGCTCCTGTGGGTTACATGAGATAGAGACCCCGCCAAACGAGCTGGAGCAATATGAGGAATTTATTGGCTATTATAGAGGGGTAGAATGTTGTTGTAGCCCACAGGACTGAAAGAAGAACAGCAGGAGTGAAGGCCATGAGAACCAAAATTGGGATTCAATGCTGCTTGCATGCTCTCTAAATTCCTCTCCTCTCTGCTGCCTTGCTTGGTTTCCTAGATTGAGTGGGAAAGACGGCTTGTCAGCAGCTTTGGGCCATAGCATCCAGCTTTGCAACCCACTAGGAAGAGGGCTTCTTCCTCCCAGCATCCACATATCAATCCCAGGGAAAGAATCTGATTGGTCCTGCTTGGGTTATGTGCCCACCCCTTGGGCCAATCACTGTTGCTGGAGGATGGGGTTCCATGGTTGGTGCAGTCTGGGTCACATGCCCACTTAGTGGCAGCGGGATACGGATGGGTGGGAGTAGTGGGCACTTTAACTGACAACCTACTAGGATTATGTGATGACAGCAGGGAGTTTCCCGAAGGAAAGGAATGCTAGAACTGGATGGTGGAAAACAAGTTAGAGCGGTAAAAATCCCTGCCTACTGTCTACTGCACTGGTCCATGTGAGAGACAGGGCAGACACACACAGACTCATCATGAGGAGTTCACAGACTCACGAGGAAATAAGGCTTACAGACGTGAAGCGGTGAATAAGAGCTGATAGCAGCTACCATTTACAGAGCACCTCCCAGGTGCCAGGCACTGAGCCAAGCAGTTCCACATGCATCATCTCATTCCATGCTCACAATGACCCTGGAAAGTAGATACTATTACTATCCTGAATTTTGTGAATCAGAGAGATGGTGAAATACATCCTCCCCTCCCCCTTTTTTTTGGCAAGAGAGCCAATGCAAGAAACAATTAAAATGTTTTTAGGCGCCCATCCTTGTTCAGAGAGGTTAAGTGACTTGCTCAAGGTCACACAGCTAGCACATTCAATGAATGTGCTGGGAAGTATTTGGTTAAGGGCAAAAAGAAGGCTTCTATTTCTCTCTGTAGACTAAAGCATTAGGGAAGGCTGCCTAGGGGATGGGGGTTGGGGGTGAATAAGCAGAGATCTAAAGCATGGGCTATCTAGACAGGTGGCCAGGGAGGTTAGGTGGAGGAGAAGATGGATCAACTCCCAAAACTAACGAAGGCAGGTCTGAGCACCAGCCAGATACTATCTATTCCTTCTCATCTGTCGCCTGTGACAGCTCTTTGGAAATTTACAGAGACCTCTTTTCTTGAGTCTCCCCTTCTCTAGCCTGCCCTGACCAGCCCTACCATTCTTCACAGGATATGTACACCAGTCTCCTCCCCTCTTCTACCTGGCTGCCCTCCTATGGACACACCCAATGAATTGAGGTGCTAGGCACGGTTGGATCCACACAAATGAGAGAAGAAATGTCACCTCCCCTTTTCAAAACACTGTGCTTCTATTAATGAGACCCAAGATCAATTAGGTATTAAGCAGTCATGGTCCACCCTCTCCAGTCAAGCTCACTCTCTCCTAAACTTGCCAGCTCAAACACATCTCACTCATCCTGGAGGAGGGCGGATGATTCCCTGGACCTAAGACTAGAAACTCATTTTTTTTTTTTTTTCAGGCTCAGCCCATTTTGGATCTCAGCTGTTCCTTAGCATCACCACTTCCACCAAAGTGATTGGTGAGAGTGTATGATTCCACTTCTATGAGGCACCTAGAGTAGTCAGAGGCACCAAGACAGAAGGTAGAATGGTGGTTGCCAGGGGCTGGCGGGAGGAGGGGCGATGGAAAGTCGCTGTGAGATGGAATAAGATAACGCACGTGGAAGTACTTGGCCCAGTGCCTGGTGCCTGGTAGGGGCTCCATACGTAGTGGCTGCTATCAGCTCTTAATCACAGAGTTTCGGTTTGGGATGATGGAAAGGTTCTAGAGATGGGTGGTGATGGTCACACAACGATGTGAATGTATTTAGTGCCACTGAACTATGCACTTACAAATGGTTACGATGGCAAATTTTATGTCATGTGTATTGTATTTTGCTACAGTTTTTTTTTTTTCTTTAAAGTGATTGGTGGGTCCTCTAGATCTACCCGCTCAGGAGAACCTCTCCCCAACCCAGGGCAGCTGGATTCCCACCCTCACAGCTTCTGGTTCTCCAAAGGTCACTCCCTCAGCTGAGTCTTAAGGAAGTAGGAGTTATTTCCTCCAGCAGCCCCCTGTGAAGGTAACTCAGGGACCAAGGAACAGCATTAGCACCCACAATACCATCACTGTCTCTGGAATTCAAGCCCCCCTCAAACCACCATCTAGCCCCACCTCCCTTGACCTCTCCTCTGCCTCTAGTGCAAGATCTCTACTTCCCTGTCATTTGAACTTTTGAAAATGTCATCTGTACTCACTCCTGTTCCTCACTGTTGGGTACACAGTCCTCGGGGCCCAACAGTTTGGCTCCTGTCACCTTCTACCCTCCAAAGTCAATTGCCCCTGCCATGTCACCTGTGGCCTCCTGAGGACCAAGACCAATGGAAGCTTTCTGTTCTCTCACAGCCACTCCCTGCAGCTTTGACACTGATGAGCACTTGCTTCTCCTAAACTCCTTCCCCCGGGCCTACATAACCACTTTCTGGTTCTTCTCCTTCCTTCCTAACCACTCCTCCCTCTCACTCATGGACTCTTTTCCCAGGTTCCAGCAGGGAAGTACTGTTTTGTTACTTCCACACAGTGTCCCTGTTCATCTCATCCCCTCCAATGATGGTTCAAAAAAACAAACAAAACATTACTCTCAAGCCCAGCCTCTCTCGTGAGCATAGATTCATAGACTCCACTGTCTCCCGGCCAGCCTTGTAACAGAATCCTAACTGCTCTGTCTCCGTGGCACCCCACAAACCCACCATCCACAACGCCCCAGAGGGATCTCCTGAGAAGGCAAGCAGGCATAGGTTCCTCCCAACGTCAAAGCTCCCTCCGCCTGGGATAAAATCTAAGCTCCTAGGCATGGTCTCTGAGTCTCTCTGTGGTCTGGTCTTCCCCTAATCTACTTTCCACAGAGCAGCCAAAATGGTATGTAAAAGGCCACAGTTGACTTAAACTCCCCTCCTCCCGTTTCTGCTCCTGAGCCCTTGCTCCCACCCTCCTCCCTGCCTGGAATGCTCATCCCCACCCCCCACACTGAGAGTCACTCCCACTCCTCCTTAGAGATTCAGCGCAGGGGTTGCCTGCCTGGGAGAACCTGCCAGGCACTGGCCTGTGCTGCACCCCATCCCCCAACATACACTTCTCTACCCCGAAGTTAACACTGCTTCCAGAACTTGCCTCTGTTGTGACTCAGGAGTGTCTCGGAACCGTGAGCTGCCTGAAATGCTCCATGCTCCGGTGGCCCCGGAGCCTAGCACAGAGCCCGATATCCAGGAGATCTCTAATACATGAGTCAGTAGTTGAACAGCTGAAGGAAACGATGGGTGTCCAAGACAGCCTCCAGCCCCCAGCCCTGCCCACCCAGAGCCTGGCACACAGTAAGTGCTCAGGAAAGATTGGCAGTATTCTGCTTTCTGAATTAATGTGATTTCAGGCAGGGTCGGGGGTTTGAGTTATGTAGGGGGTAGAAGGGAGGGTCTGGATGAGAGAAACGTAGCCTAAAGGGAGGTTTGGGGGCAGCGCAGTAGGGGAAGGGGCAATGGGGGTGTCTAGAAAGGTGGGAAAGGAGCTAAGCTCCGCGCCCCAGGTCAGCCGGCTTGGGGTCGGGTCAGTCCTCCTCCAGCCCCGCCAGCAAGACCCTTCCCTTTCGCCTGCGTGGCGAGACAACCCACCCCCAACCCCCCGCCGGCTGCCGCGCTCGGCCCTCGGGACTGGGAGGCGTGTGTGTCGCTTTAAAAGCTCCCTCCCGGCGCGGCGGGCCGGCCCCTTCCCTGACAGCGCCGAGGCGAGCGGAGCCGAGCGAGCCGGGCGGCCTTTAAGGGAGCCAGCGCCCGCCCGGGCGGCCAGTCCGGCGGGGGGCGGCGGGGCGGGCCGGGGGCGGCCGGGGCGCGGGCGGCTCAGCCCGCGGCGCTCGGGGAGCGGGCCCAGGCCCCGGAGCCCGGCGGGGCAGGGCAGGGCGAGGCGGTGGAGGGAGGCCCAGCCCCGACCCGGCGCCTGTTTGCCCCACCGGCGGCGACCCGGCGCCCGGGGACTGCCGAGGCGGGGAGCCGAGAGCGAGCGGGCGGGAGGCAGCGGAGCGGAGCGGAGGCTGCGAGCTCTGTGCGCCCCGGCCCGGCCCGGCCTGCCGCGCGCCCCCTCCCCTCCCCTCCCTTCCCCTCGCCGCGCCTCCTCCCCTCGCCTCTTCTCGCCTCCTCTCCTCTCCTCAGCCCGGCGCCGCTCCCGCCTGCGCCCCGGCCGCCGAACCCAGCCCGGCCGGGCCCCCGGCTTCGCGCGCTCTCGGCTGGGCCCGGCGGGGACTGGGTCCCCGCGGCGGACACCGCCCCTCCCCAGGGACCCGGCGGATTCCGGACCTTTCGGAACGTTAACCGAGCCGTGGGAGCGATCGCGCCCAGGGCCGACCGCGGGGCTGGGCTGAGCGGACCCTCGCAGCCGCTCTGGACGCCGGGGGTGCCGGGGCGCAGACGTTCTGGGTCCGGGCTGAGCGCGTCCCGGGCGCCCGGCGGTGCCAGCTCACTCCGGGCCGGGTAGGGCAGGGCAGACCCCAGCGGAACCCGGACCCGGCCGATCTGGACTGGACAGAGCGAATCCCGGACGGAGCCGAGCCCGGGGAATGCCGGGCGTGGGCTGAGGGGATCCCGGCGCCCTCCCAGCCCTCCGACTTTGGCTCACGCGCTGGGACCGGCCCGGCATCTCCTCGGCCTCCCCGCGCCCCGGTCACCTGTGGCCTCGGAGCCCGGAATCCGCCGGACCCTCGCTCGTTCCCGACCCCGAGCCTGGAGAGGCTTGAGAAAGGTTTTTCCTGCCCCCTTCCCTGGAGCGCGGAGGCCCCGCCCCCTCCCACCGCCCAGATGTCTCCGGCCACTGCTCGGAGGACCTCCCTGAGGCCAGGGGCCGAAGGGTCCAGAGAGAGAAGCCCGCCCTAGGGAGCCTTGGGGGGCCCCCAACCCCGTTTTGGGGCTTGGCCCCCGACGCTGCTTGGAGGGAAGGCCGGTGCCCCCACCCTCGGTGAGTCCAGTAGGGGGGTTCTGAGGGAAGGCGGGGCTGGGAGAGGGAGGGTCTGCTGGGAATGAGGGCACCCTGGGGGCGCTAGGAGGGAGGATGGGTGACTGAAGAGGCCCTCTGGCGAACCAACCTTGCCAGGCCTGGCTGGGGGTTTTGGGGGGGCGGGAGCTACGACCAGGGTGCCCCATAGCAGGCTGAGGACTTCTGCTTCTAGAGCAGGGGGCTCCCTCCCTTTCCCTCTAGAGGAGGGGCTATGCTGTAAACCATCTGCCTCCACCACCCCTCCCCACAAAGAAAAAAAAAATCTCCAGCTAGGAAGGGTGCAGGCTGGCGAGAGGAGGGAGGTAGCGGCATTGCCGGCTGGTGCTGCAGCCTGGGAGGGCTGACGCCAGGCTCGCTCTCTCCGCAGGGGGCTGCCCTCTTCCAATCCAGCTCCCTCCCCAGAGCTGCCCATAACTGGAGCCCCCTCCACATCTGGAAGACCCTGGCCACCATCCCTCTGCAGGTGTCAGTTGCATCCAGAGACCTCTGCCTTTGCAACTGCCTAGGAGTTGTGAGGGGATCCCTTCTGCCTTCCCCCATCCCAAGGGCATCTCCTACCCTTAGTCCCTGCAGAGTCATCCCCCTGCCTCTTTGTTCAAGCTCAGGCAGAAATCAGCTCTGCACACCCACAGGCACTTCAAGTCCTGGAGGCCACTCCTGGGACCCAAGGTCCCTCCCCCTGCCCTCCTGTGTCCTCACCTTGACCCCCTCTGCCAGACTCTGTCTCCCTCTGGGTGTCCCACTCCCCACCCAGAGGCAGAGGAGGCGGGGTGGCAGGGGGCAGGGGCTGGTTGAGGGCCGCCCAGGGCCAGGGTGGGCTGGGGGGCCGTTAAGATGTGGAGCTCTGCCCAGCCGACGACGGGGGCTCCGTGGAGGCAGACACAGCGTGTGCCCAGCTGGGGGGAGTATGGGCAGGCCTGCGGCCACGTGGTAAACGATGAACATTCGGGGGGCCCCGGACCTCGGGCAGCCCAGTGACGACCCCAGCAGTGGTGGTGAGCGGGAGCGGATTCGACAGCGCATGAAGATGGTCATCGGGCAGCTTGAGGGCATCCTTCGAGAGCTCAAGGAGGTGGCCAAGGAGCTGAGGGAGGTAAGTGAGGGGTGAGCAGGGACCAGACAGACCCCAGGCCAGCCTTCCTGGGCTTGGCGCAAAAACGTACTCACACGTGTTGGAGTGTGCAAAGCTGCATGCACGTGTGTCGCTCTACTGGGGACCTCCTTTCTCCTTGCTCTCCTTTCCCCAAATCTGCTTTGCTAAAAATCTCATCAGACCACAAGTCTGGAGGGGCCTTCATGTTACAGAGGTTGCTTGAGCCGCATGTCAGTGGGCCTGGAGCTCTGGGTGAGCATGCAGGGCTGCCAAGATGGCCAGTAAGGACTGAATCCCTCTACAGCTTCTTAGTATGGAAGACACCCCTCTGAGACCTAAGCTGACCCTTGACCCCACATCTGTCTCTAAGACTCTGACCTGGTCACAAGGGGCCCTGGGAGAGTGCAGATGGTTCTGCTGAGGTGGTTCCCACTGCTCAGGGCCCAGCTCAAAGCACATCTCCAGAAATCACACAGATACCGAGAACCCTTGATCTTAGAAAAATTTAAGCCAGTTGTGTCCTCTTTGTCCTGAGATAAGAATGGGGCTGAGGGTGCTGTAGTCGGTAACAGAGTTCCTTGCATATTTTGGCAGAGGCAGGAATCTTCTCTAAGGGGATGAGCATCTTCATCCCACTGTTCTGAATATTTTTTGCCAAGGCTGAAAAGCCACTGAGAATGCTGGGATGTGTGTGTCCCTCTCTGTCTTTCTAAGTGGAGCCTGGTTTAATTACTGCTTCTCACATCGCTGGGGTAATGAGGTACACATGTCCTCGGCCCTGCCCCCTGGGCTGCGTTCGAGTCCAAAATGCATGACCAGCGTTCTGAGCCACTAGCCTGAATTTGCCCGCTGGGTGCCATTATACCAGCCAGGTGGGCTTTAGGCAAATTTCAACTCCTTGTAACCAGGGCCCCTGCAGAGATGCAGGGAGAGTGATTGAGCTGGAGTTATGGGCTCAGGCTCTCCCTGACCAGCTGTGCAGGGAGGATAGAGGATCTAGGAAGGCTGAAGAGGTGGGGTGATGGTGGGTACCAACTCCAGGCTGGCAAAGTGGCATTCCAGCCTGGCCTGAGAGCCAAGGAGCAGGGGTTGCTTGAAGGGCACTGTGTTCAGAATGGGGTAGGTGGTGGATATAAAGATACCAGGACAGGAGCTGTCCAGGGTCAGCCTCAGGGAGCCTGCCAGGAAATCCCATCTCAGAAGGTGTGAATGGCTGCTGCTTTGGGCAGACTGAGTTGGTGGCACTTCTGCCCATGGATTGGGCTGGCCATAGTCTGGGTTGCACATCTTTGGACAGTACAATTTGGAAGTCAAAGGCCAGATGACCCTGAGCAACCCCTCCTCCTCCAACCTCTTGGGTCCAAGGCACTACAGTCTCCCCCTGCCCCCTTCTTATTTTAGATCAGGGCCATGGGAACTGTTCAAAGTCTCAGTCTTGGCCAGGGACATGGGACCTATGCCCTGGCAGGTAGCTACAAAGAGCCAGAATTGACTAAGCCTGGGAGTCAACTCTGATACCACTCCCAGCCTTTTCCCAACTGGGCATCTTCCAGGCACCTGCGTTCCCTCTCCCCTCAGCATACCCACCCAGAGCTTGAAGGGGTCAGAGGTAATCCAGACCAGCCGTGTCCATTCACTATCGAAGAAACTGAGGCCCAGAGAGCCATAGGGGCTTGTCTAAGATCATACAGCATACCAGTGGCAGAAGTAAGCCTAGAACTCGGGTTCCTGATGCCTATCCTGGGGTTTCAGCAGGTGAGCTATTGGGCGATCTCTTTGCATTTTGACAAGGGCCTTCCAGAGATGATCCCTGATGCTCATCTGTGATGCAATAGCTCTCAGATTTATTTGCAGATCTTTTAGATGCCCTCTCCTTCCCTTTCACACTCACCCACCCCCATGTTTCCAATACTAGAGCTCCAGGTTCACAGGCTATGCAGCCCAGAGGCCTAAGCCAGGACAGAGAAAAATGAGTCCCCTCCCCCCACACACCCTGTAGGCCATGTGCCTCCACCCAAGACTTTGGCAGGTTGCTACGGCAACCAGAGCCTACCCCGTATGCCACTGCCTGCCCGCTGCCAATGGCACCCAGCTGGGGAGGGGTGGGTAAGCCTCAGAACTCTCTCATCCCCCAGGCGGGGTCTAGACACAGGGTGATGGGCAGAGGGAAGTGTAGAGGAAGGTAGGTCAAGCTCTGGGAGGCCCAGGCAGAAGAAGAGATGCCATCACTGTCTCCCTGTGAGATGAGATTTGTGGGGGATCAGGTTACCAAGTGGGGGTGCCACACTCTGGTTTAGAGAAAAGGGTTGGAACCTCCCTGCTCTCTGGAACCTGTGGTCTTGGCTCTTGGTTCTTCAAGGGAGCTGTAAAGCTGAATCTGCCTGGCTCTCCTCAGTCCCTTTGTGTAGCATCTTTTCATCAGGGGCGTGGGTAGGCTCAAGGTTGAGAGGTGTTCACTTGTTCCCTCAAATCACCCCATGGCCTGGGCAGCACCAGCTTAGAGCCCACCAACTGGGTTCTTATTTCAGGCAAAGCACTTAGAAGTGGAGATGAGAGTCACATACAAGACTGTTGGGGATGGGGGCTGCACAGATGCTTGGTGAAGGAACAAGGCCAGCAGAGTAGAAGGGCTTAGCTTTTTTCCCCTCGGCCATCTTCCTCCTCTTTCTGCTGCTCCCCCTCCCCAGCCCCCCGATGCCACTGATCATGGCAGACCCTCCTCACCCTCTTGAGCATACAGCCTGAAATTCACTGAAAGATGAGTGACCCCAAACCACTTCCTTCCCAAGTCCCTCAGCCTCAGTTTGCTCATCTCTGAAATTGGGATGTGGTGATTTGCACTGCACGCTGATCTTACAAAGATTTATCGGGGGTTTGGCATGCAGTAGGGGGGCGGTCAATACCTACTCACGCTTCTAGAGGAGTTGGAGTTCCCTCTCCCACACCTCCCTCGCCCTCTCAAACCCCTGCTATACCTCTGCCACTGGCTCCCTGGGTGATGAGCAAGTTCTATCCCATAGGTGGGGAAAGTCTTTTAAAGGATTAAGTGAGGTGAGGAATGTAAAAGTGCTTTGAAAGCTAAAATTGTGCTGCAGAGGGATATGACGGTCAATCATTAATTAGCCCTTATCTCTCCCAGGCTCCCCAATACTCCGAGATACTGGGCCACTCCCAGCAGGCTCTCTAAGCTCCTCAAAGTTCTGTAGATCTTAATTTAGAGATGCAGAACAGCTCAGGGGCTCTGCAGCCAGATGCCTGCAGTTCAGTTTCAAGCTCCACCCTCTCCCGAGATGTGTGAACTTGCGAAAGTTACTTTACCTCTCTGTGCTTCTGTTTTTCTGTCTGCAAACATGGGGAGACTACATTTTATGCCTCCTCTCCTACCCCAACCCCAGGGTTGTTGTGAGAATTAAATGAGACATATATAAAGCACTTAGCACAATGATGGGCATGAAGCTCACTCCGTATCTGTGAGATGTTTTTAATGAATTATGCTAGCAGTGGCCTGCTTCTCAGCTCCACGTATGGCCTTGTTTTCTGGAATCACGTCAGCTTCTTAGCCGTGACGAGGGAGGGCAGGACCACGTCCTGGCCTCCTGGCTGGGGCTCCTTATTTTCTCCTGCAGTCGGCAGTCTGACTTCCTGCCAGAGGGGAAATCGAATAGAGAGTGAAAGGGATGGGGGCAGGAAGGGGGTCTCCAATAAGGTGGCCTTTGAACAGAGACCCCACAGAAGCGAGGATACCAGTCGCATGGCTATCTAGGGGAAGATCATTCCAGGCTGAGGGCACAGCCAGTGCCAAGGTCTCAAGGAGGAAGTGTGCCTGGCATATTCAGGTTCCGTAAGGAATCTGGAGCAGCTGGAGGGCAGTGAACAAGAAGAGCAGAGGAAAGGTCAAAGAGGGAGCAGGGAGTCAGATTCCATCGAGTCATGCAGAGCATGGCATGGAATGTGGATTCGTTCTCAGCGAGAATCCCACACTCTCCAGGAATCTGCTGGTCATGTTTCTGGGTGGGAATCTGCCTCCCCACTGCTCCCCCGTTACCCACCCACCAGAAGCTCCCAAGGGCAGGGTATTCAACTTACCTTGAGCAGGTGCTTGGCCTCCTCCTCCTTGGTTCCCCCCCTCCCAGATGTCACTCAACATGGAGGCTCAGATGTGATCCTTGCATTAACACCACCTGTGTCTTCCACATCTTCAGTGACTCTTGGGTGGGATGTAACTAAGGGCACAGTTGCCCACCCTGGCCTAAACACCTCAGGAGGATGGAGGGGTTGCCACAACCTTTTCCCAGCCTGGGGTGGCCTTGGAGGATCCCCCACCTGGTTTGCCTAGGAAGCAGGCATCCTGGCATTCTGTTTCCTGGCCATTCCATTGTGCAGCCCCATCAGCAAGGGGCTTTGTCTGAAGGTGGCAGGGAAAGCCACAGGCCGTGCAAGTGTGAGATAAATGTGGCCCAGCCAGGAAGCAGCTGGAGCAGGAGAGGCTGGGGACCACGGAGCTGTGCCAAAGTGGGTCAGCTCCATCACCCGCAGCTCAGCAAGAATTGCGCGGATTTTTTTCTTATTATTTTTGTTCACGCCTTCCTTTCCTCCCTTTTCCCTTTGCCTTCTCCTCCTCCGGACAGATTTACTGAAGCTCCCTGGCCAATTAAGCCAAATTGCAGGATGAGAGCCGTGAATCATGGTCAGCTCGCTCTCCCCCCTCAACTCCACAGCCCCCCCAGGAAGATAATAACGTAATCACAGAATTAAAAAATAATCAGTGGTCATAAATAATGCAGAATCCCCAGTTATGTAACCAGCTGCCTTGGGGAGCTGGGAGAGAGGGAAGGAGGTGGCAGCTTGTCAGGGGAGGGGAGGGGGGGCAGGGTGGGGGGTGTGGCGGGGAATCCATGGGGTACAGGATGCTAATCCTGGGACTCCAGGTCCTCAGTCCTGGCTCTAGGGCCTTAAGGAACACAGAAATGGCTCGATGGAATCTGACTTCCCTTGGAGAGGGGGCTCAGCCAGGGCTGGAGAGAGGGTTGGGTCTGGCAATATGGGGTTGTCCAGGACTACGGAACTCTTCCTCAGAAAAGAAGCCCCCAGCAGTTTTTATTAAGCCATCTGTCTAAAACTCATCCCTCATCCAACAGCTGTGTTTGCAGAATTTGCCGATCCCTGTGCCAAGCTGGGGATACAGCAGCGAGCAAAGAGACCCAGTCCCACTCCTCATGGGGTTTACTGTCTAGTCGGGGGACGGACATCAACCACATTATAACATAATGCTGCACAATTGTAGCAGCGATAAATAATGTATAGCATTTTAAGGAGAGGTGCAGGGTGCTTTGAGAGCCTTTCCTAGGGAACCTGACCTCAGCTGGGGATTGGGGAAGGCTTCCTTCTCGAAGTGATGACAGAGGAAGTAGGAAAGGAGGGAGGGCGCGTCAGGTGAGGCCCAGAGGCAGAAGTGAGCTTGGTGGAGTGTGTAGGGGTGGTGAGGAGGCAGGCCTGGCAGGGTGCTGCTTGCTGGAGAGGAAAGGGGGTGGGTAGGGAGTTATGTTTGGGAGGCTTAGGATTTTGGGGAGCATGGAAGGGCTGGAAGCAGAGGGGTAACATGGTCCTGTTGGCTGATGAGAAAGTGCAGCATGGAGCCAGAGCTGGGCAGGAAGTTGCTATCAGTGGGAAGACTAGATGGGTGCAGTATTTCAGCCATTTCAGCCAGGGGCTCTAAGGCTGTGGCCAGGACAGAGGTTGGGGACACCTTTGGCACAAGGCCTGCAGGCTCTGTCACAGCCTTCAGTCCTGCCCTTGCTCTCTAGGGGTCCCTCTTGGTCTCCCCGTCGCGGGTCATTCTTGGTCTTAAGGTGCAATGCCCAGGCATCAAGACTCACCCCGGTCTCAGCTCAGCTGCCTCCAGTCTCTGCCTCGTTGTCCCCATCAGCAAGCACATTGAGACAGGTGAACTCAACCGTGCCTGCAGTCCCTTCTGGCTGGGAGGTTGTATGATTCTGTGATTTCATGGTTCCGTTTCTCTCTCCACTCTCTCTCTCCCCCTCTCTTTCCTTCTGTGTGTGTAATTATTTCCGTGCACTCCAAGACAATCCCAAATTACATGTAGGCAAAATGATTATTAAATCTCAGGGGAAAATCACAGATTTCAAGACATCCAAAGCAGAGAGGCAGGTAGCACAGGGCCTGCTCCATGCTTGCCCTCACATTGGCCCAGGAAACCATGTACCGGGGAAGGGCAGTGGGGCTGTGGACTGGCCCAGGTCCCCCACAGAGAAGCTGCTTACTCTCGGGCACACGGCTTCCGTTTCACATCCTCACTATGTCATTCATCGAGTACTGTGACGTGTCTCACCTAATAGACTGGGTCGGATTTGCCTGTGGGCCTCATAGCCAGTTGGCCTTTAGAACCTCTGCTGGTTCTATTCTGTCTGGAGACAGCCCTACTTAAGGCAAAATAAGTACTGTCCATGTGCTAGGTTTTGAAATACCCAGCATGTCCCATTATTCTGCCACAGGCACTGGACCCACATCAGAGGGTCATTCCTTTGGTGCAGAAGTAATTCCCACCGCTCTTGGGCCTGAGCTGGGGCACGGTCACATGTTAGCACCCAACAGGGCATTGTGGATGTTGGTAGTCTGCTTTGTTCCATATGCTGTCCAAAGTGCATTAAGTCACTAAATCCTCACTACAGCTCTATCAAGTAGGTATTACTAGAATTCTCCTTTGATGATGAAACTTAGGCACAGAGACGTTGAGTAACTTGGCCAAGGGCACGCAGCTGGTAAGCAGTGAAGCCAGGGTTGGACCCCACGTCTGGCTCCAGAGCCCAGGTTCTTTACTGTTTAGCTATCTTGACCCTGCAACGTAAAACACGTTCATATCTGTTAAATTTTCATCACCCTGGGTGAGGAGGGGAGTGTTACTTCCTTTTACAGGACAGGAAATCAAGCCCCAGAGAGGGATAATCATCCACCTAAAGTCTCAGCCAAGAGGTGTCAGGCCTCCCTCTTTCTCTTTTCTCCGTGCCCCCAGATTGGAACCAGAGAGGGGTGCACTAATAAAGAAGAGAAAGGGCGTCTTGTGTTGGGGAGTCTTCCAGCCTGAAGGCTTGGGCTCCTGCCATGTGCATGCTGGATCTTCCCTGCTGCTGGGCCTGAGGCCCGATGGTGCTCATTCTCACTAAGCATCAGGATATCCAGCTCCTGGGCCCAGCCTGGCCTCAGCTGACCCTGTGAGGTCACAGCCAAGTCATGCAACTCCAATTCCTACTGGCATTCTCTCCTGCCCTCAGTCAGCAGCAAACGCCACAGCTCTGGCTTCATCAGGAGAGTCTCATTTGAGGATGTAGCTGCCCCAGAGGTGGCCGGGCCTCTCCTGAAGCCAGCAATGCCTTGAATTTCTGGTCGTCACCCAGCTTAAATCCCCCAGTACCCTAGGCTAGTGGTTTTCAAAGCCTGTGTCTGGACCACCAGCAGCAGCAGCAGCAGCGCCTGGAGGCACGTTAGCTAGGTTCCTTCTCCAGCCCCACTCTAGACCTGCAGAACCAGAAACTCTGGAGAGTGAGCTGAGACACACTCAACTCTCAGGGCCCCTCCCCTAGGCCAGTGCTCCTACCAGCCCTTAGATGGAGCTTAGATTGAGCAAGGGCTTCTGGGGGATAGGAGGTTCTCTGAGCTTCCTTTGGTGCAGGAAGGTGTCATCCTGGGAGAAGCATAAAAAGAGGTAGCCAGATTGGAGGTGGGGCCCTGTCCCCACCGCCTGCCCAAGCCCAGCAGTCACAGCAGCCGTACACCTCATGACGGTGTGCGGTTTTGCAGGGGGCTGTTGGAGAGGGGAGGGTCTCAGCTTTCCAGAGACTAGAGCTCCAGACTCCTCACCTGTAAAACAGGAGATAATGATCTCCTGGGTGGGGGTGAGCACTCAAAAGCATGGTGCATGGGAGGTGCTCAGCTAAGGGAGATGGTGTCACTTTCATCCCCAGTGCTCCGCAGAGCCCTTCTGCTGCCCTTCTCACTGTTGCTCATGAAGCTCTCATAGGTTGGCTGGGATTGTCTTACCCACTTGGCGGTGAATGATGTTGAGGTCCAGAGACATTCTGTGACCTGCCCAGAGACACACAGAACAAGGTCAAAGCTAAGTCTGGAATCCAGATGTCCTGATTCCTCCAGCTCTTCTGGAGGCCTCAGCCAAGCGGTTTCCCCACTCCTGGCCTGAGCCATGGTTGAGGGGCCATCCCTGGGCATCAGCACCCAAGCAGCTTCTCAGAGTCATTCCTATAAACAGAGTCCTAGAATCTGACGTGGAAGGAACCTTGGAAATAAACTAGTTCACCTGCCCTCTCCACTTACAGACAGACCAGCTGAGACCGAGAGAGGAAAAATGGTTGACCAGGTCTCCCGCATCCAGCCTGACCAAGTAGTAGTCTTCCCACCGGCCCAAGCCACTCTGGCCATCACTTCTGTCCTTGCTTTCCTCTCATTTTGGGGCACTCACTACCCCCATTCCTTGCCAAAATACCTAGCACATCCCTGGACAGCAGCAGTCCTCAGCAAATGTTTGTTGAATTAAGGACTTAATGAGTTAATTAATTAATTGCCTGTCCTGACCCCAGCCAGGTGAAGAGCGCTGGAGCGGACTCTGGTCTGGATGACTCACTGTGGATCTCTTGGTCTCTGTCACTGTGACTCTTGGGCTCCCTGCTTGCTTTCCTTGTTTTTCTGTCTTGTTTTTGTTTGGAATCTTCTGTCTCCCTTCTCTTGCTCTGTCCCGTCTCTGTCTCTGACTGGATTTCCCTCTTTCCCCCACTGTCTTCCTCCCTGATTGATGTGCTGACGGTGGCCACCCAGGCGAGGGAGTCTCCCGAGGCAGGGCTGCCTGTATAGAAGCCGAGGGTTTCGCTTTGTGCGAGGCAGTGTGGGGTGCAGCGACCTCCGCAGCTGAGCTGCCCCCTGAGTGCATTGAACAAGCAGCTTTGGGCCCAGAATAGATGGCTTCTTTATTGCTTATCAAATAATGCTTGCTTTATTCCTTCTCCCAGCAAGCCGGGATTGATCTCCACTTGTCAGTGGGCAGAGAAGGGGAAGGAGTGAGGAGGTTCTGGGAGATGGGGGCGGGGGTGGGAGGACCCAGCCAGCCAGTGCTGTTCACCTGGTGTTCTCGCCCTGAGGGATGGTGGAGACCCAGGGGCGACAGTCACTGGCCATCTGCAAGGACTGGTCCAGGATGCTTTAGAAAGCCCACACGGGGTCTTCCTTGTGATCACCCACAGTATTTCTTCTCTGAGAGTGTGTGGGCTGCTTAGCTCTTTGTGGAATGGGCTTGCTGGAGGGCCTCAGCCCCTCTGAAATGGCCCCCTCTCAAACTAAGGAAGATTAGTCCCTGATCACCAGGGCTGCCCCCAGAGCAGGTGCTGTGTTTGAGAGACAGGGGTGAGTGAATGGAAGGTGTGCAGGGCTGGAAAGCAGTTCCCTCTCCCCCAGGAACTGAACAGTGCTAAACAGACCTTTGGGAAGGGCCGGAACCAGCTCTGTCCAGCCTGGTCTAACTTGGGCCCTGCACAGGGCAAACAAACCTGTGACCTCCAGGCCAGTCACTTTCCTACAGGCTCTCCCCTGTCTGGTATGCTCGCCAGCCAGGGGGTCTACAGGGACGGGGCACAGACACACTCATACCTGGCTGACACAAGGCCCCCCCGGCCCCTCTCATCTCCTCTCCCCTTCCCTGGTCAGGTGGTGAGCCAGATCGATAAGCTAACCTCAGACTTCGACTTTGAACTGGAGCCGGACGACTGGACCACGGCCACTGTGAGCAGCACCTCTAGCAGTGACAAGGCGGGCGTGGGCGGCCCCTTTGACCTGGGCCACCTGGACTTCATGACAGCCGATATCCTCTCAGACAGCTGGGAGTTCTGCTCCTTCCTGGACGTCTCAACCCCCTCGGACTCCGTGGACGGTCCTGAGTCAACTCGGCCAGGGGCTGGCCCTGACTACCGCCTCATGAATGGTGGCACGCCCATCCCTAATGGGCCACGAGTGGAGACCCCAGACTCCTCCAGCGAGGAGGCCTTCGGCGCTGGCCCCACAGTGAAGAGCCAGCTGCCCCAGCGGACCCCAGGGACGCGGGAGAGGGTGCGGTTCAGTGACAAAGTGCTCTACCATGCTCTGTGCTGTGACGATGAGGAGGGGGACGGTGAGCAGGAGGCCGAGGAGGAGGAGGTGGGCTTGCCCCCCGAGCCTGTCCATACAGAGGCCCACGCAGGCCCCCACAAGCCCTCCCCAGCCCCCTACAAGTCACGGCGCTCTCCACTGACCAGCCACCGCTCAGGCTCTGCCTTGGCCCCCGAACAGACTCGAAGGGTCACAAGGAACAGCAGCACCCAGACAGTGTCAGACAAGAGCACGCAGACGGTGCTGCCCTACACAGCCACTAGACAGAAAGCCAGGGGGAAAAACTAGGGGCTGGGGAGGGGGCCGGGGGCGGTGGACACATAGAGCTATAAATATATATATATATATATATTTAAACAAATGAAGTCATAATAAAATTTAAAAACACTAAGGATCCGGCCCCACAGGCCCCAGAGCTTTCACAGAGCTCCTCTTAGACACGAAGATGCCCACTGGCCTCCTAGGTCCCAGGAAGTGTGGCCAGGACTGCCCTTCCTCCCTCCCTCCCTTCTCATTGCAGGGCTCCTGAAGGGGGTGTCTGAAAGTATGTAAATCTGACGGGAGGTCTGGCCCTCCCCTTGCTAGCTCCTGAACTCCGTGGAGGAGTCTGGCTGCTGGCCAGGGCCGTGTGCTGGAGTGGACTCCCCGGCAGGAGTCGGGCTCTAAAGGGAGTGGTGTCCCTTTAGGCCAGGGCTCACAGTCAGACTGGTTTGGAGACTGAGGACTTGGGGCCTGGGGGTGGCATCACTCTGGCTAGACCCTGCATCACTTGCACCCACCCTCCTTCTACTCCAAGGCAGATTTACCTGGGTATACACAGCCCTGCCTCACCCCCTTCCATCTTAGGGTTGCCTGGGACATAGGGGCATGGCAAGCTGGCCTCCATGCTGGGCCACTGGGCATCCACAGAGCCTGGAGGATCACCTGGGCTGGGCAGGGGTTTGTTTGGAGGGTCTGGACCCCTCCCGATCCTTTCAGCTCCCATTCTCAGCCTGGTCCTGAGACCAAGACCAAAGACTCAGGGCAAAGCCTCAGCCAGCGTGGCCCTAAGCAGACCGGAGTTCTGTGTGAGGAAGTAGGCAGCCACTTCCATAGGGCTACAAATTAGGGCCATAGACAGGCTCCTGGCCGCCTCCAGCAGGTGGGCATTCTCGGAAAGGAGGCCAGTGGTCCCACTCTGTGCCCACCTCTCCAGCCCCAGCTCCCGAGCCCCCCTCAGCAGATCCTGAACAAAGACGAGGTTACAGCCTAGGGGCCTCAGGGCTTCATCTGGGGCATGGCTGGCACAGCGACAGCATCTGAGTATCTTTGGGGATAATAATCACAATTATATTGCTCACATTTAATGAGCAGGTCTCCGTGCTACTTCTATGCTGAATACATTTTATAGCATCATCTCATTTAATCACCACAATCACCCAACAAGACAGGAATGATTATCCTCATTTCTCTCACTCTGTCACCCAGGTGGAGTGCAGTGGGGCCATCTCGGCTCACTGCAACCTATGCCGCCCAAGTTCAAGCGATTCTCCCACCTCAGCCTCCAGAGTAGCTGGGACTGCAGGTGCGCACCACCATACCTGGCTAATTTTTGTATTTTTAGTAGAGATGAAGTTTCACCATGTTGGCCAGGCTGGTCTTGAACTCTTGACCTCAAGTGAGCCATCAACCTTAGCCTCCCAAAGGAGGCTGGAACCACTGTGCCCCACCCTGTCCCCATTTTTCAAATGAGGTGACTGAGGTTTAGAGTAGTTTGGTACCTGCCACAAAGCCTGTGCTACTCTGCCCCATGAATAAGTGGTTTCCAGGCTGTGCCTGGCTCTGCTAGCTAGCAGCTGTGTGACCTTGGGCAAGTTCATTTGCCTCTCCGAGCCTATCTACCTCCTCTATATAATGGGTCTAGTAGTCTTCTCCTACCTCACCAGCTGCTGTGGGGCTCCAGCGAGATGGCGACTGTGAAAGGACTTGACAGACTGAAGGCACTGGACGTGCCTTGTGTTCAGGGCAGCCCCCACCCAGATGGCCAGTGATTTCCAGGGCACAGGGGCCTTGAGTGGGATGGCCAAAGAAGACACTCCTGTCCAACTGGGAGCCACCCCTGGGTGGAAGACACTGCATTGCTTGGTCCCTTGCAGTAGCTCGAGGTCGGAAGTAGACTGCAGCTTAATTCACGGCCCCTTGCTCAGAGCAGGGAGGTAGGGCTGGCAGCATAGCAAGGACATCACTCCTTGGGGGCCTCCCTGCTGCATATTTCAATGAATGCAGCTTTACAGCCCCCAGTGTCTGTCCAGAGGCAGCCTGACCAGCAGGTCTGACAGCACCCACTGCCCCTGCCTGAGGAGGTGCTATCCAGGCCTGGCCGTGGGCAGACGGTGAGATTTTTTTGTGCAGGCCAGTCTGGAGCAGTTGCAGGGGATATGATCTGGACAAGGCTGGCAGACCGAGGAGGCTCTGCAGTGTGGGGCTTGTTCCTCAAGCTCATGGTGAGATCGGAGCCCTAGAGTTAGCCAGGGTGCAGCCACCAGTGTGGAAATCCAGGAACGACACAAGCCATGGCCAGCTCTTCCCAGCTCAGGCCTGAGAACCAGGGGTCTAAGGCCCTCTGTCAGCCCCAGGATACCCTCAGGCATTTTGTGCTGATCAGTGATAGGACCAGTTCAGAGGAGGAGTGCCAGGGGCTCCTCTGGGGAGAGGGCCCAGCTGCATTCTGCCCCACCCTGAGTGTGAGGAGGTGGCAGTCCCCGCCCAGGAATGGGCCTACCTGGTGCTAAAGATGTACATAACAGTTCTTCCTCTGAGGCTTGTATTTCACCTCTCATGGTAAAATCACTTTCAGATTTACGGTTTCTCATCTTAGCAATAGCCAGGGAAAAGAAATCTACAGAATAGGCCAGGCACGGTGGCTCATGCCTGTAATCCCAGCACTTTGGGAGGCTGAGGCGGGCGGATCATGAGGTCAAGAGATCGAGACCACGGTGAAACCCCGCCTCTACTAAAATATACAAAAATTAGCTGGGCATGGTGGCACGCGCCTGTGGTCCCAGCTACTTGGGAGGCTGAGACAGGAGAATTGCTGAGATTTCGCCACTGCACTCCAGCCTGGTGCCTGGCAACAGAGCAAGACTCTGTCTCAAAAAAAAAAAAAAAAAAGAAAAAGAAAAAGAAACCTACAGAATAGTTCCCATTTCACAGAGGAAGAAACTGAGGGCCAGAGCTAGGGGTCTCTGACACAGCTGTGGGATCCCCCACCCCACGCTGGCTCTGTGTGACTCTGTGGTCGTGGCTAACATCCATCAGTTGCCCCCTGCTCCCCCTCTGGCTGCTTGCCCCAAATGGGGCGGCGGTGGGAGTATGTCCTGGACGAGGGGGAAGTGGGATATAGGCAGTGCTTGGCTGGCTTCATAATTTTGCTACACCCAGTCTGGGCCTCCTGTTAGTGGGGGTGGGATCCCTGTGGCTTCTTTTTTTGTTTGTTTTTTGTTTTCTTTTTAGATGGAGTCTCGCTCTGTCGCCCAGGCTGGAGTGCAGTGGTATGATCTCGGGTCACTGCAACCTCCACGTCCCAGGTTCAAGCAATTCTTTCTCAGCCTCCCAAGTAGCTGGGACTACAGGCACGCACCACCACGCCCAGCTAATTTTTGTATTTTTAGTGCAGACAGGGTTTCACCATGTTGGCCAGGATGGTCTCCATCTCTTGACCCTGTGATCTGCCCTCCTCGACATCCCAAAGTGCTGGGATTCCAGGCGTGAGCCACTTCGCCCTGCCAATTTTTGTATTTTCTTAGTAGAGAGAGGGTTTCGCCATGTTGGCCAGGTTGGTCTCGAGCTCCTGACCTCAGGTGATCCTCCCGCCTCGGCCTCCCAAAGTGCTGGGATTACAGACATGAGCCACCGCACCCAGTCCCCGTGGTATCTTCCGACTTCAAACACAGAATGTGTCCAGCTAGGGATGGAGAGAATTCTGACTTTCAACACTGCTGAGCCGTGGCATGGGCTGCTTCTGGGTAGTGAGCTTCCTGTCCTTGGGGTAGACGCTGCCATCCCTTGGGTCCTTCCTCCAGACCTTCCAGGTACAGCCCTTTGCTGCCTCCAAACCTTTGCCAGTTTCTGGGTTTCTTCACCCAGGATGTTCCATTGGATCACTCTGCTTCCAGGAAGTCCTGTTCCACTGACCACCTACTGTGTGCACAGGCTTGTGCTGAGTGGTGCTGTGGAGGGCCAGAGGGAGCTGGAACCTGATGATGGAGATGAATAACTCATGTCCACTGGGCACGTGCTAGGCACCAGGCATTGTTCTAAGTGTATGTCTTATCTCATTTACTCCGCACAGCACGTATGAGATAAGCAATGTTACTTACGTCGAAGTAGCTTCCAGATGAGGAAACTGAGGCTCTGGGAAGTGAAGTAATTTGCCTAAGGGAACACAGGATGGGCTACGGAACCAGGACTCAACCCCAAATGCAGTGGCTTAGCACTCAAACATCTACTGCAGTTAAAATGCCTCGAGTGGGTGACCTGGTCACTGGAGGTAATGGTGGGGGCTGGGCGGCCTGAGAGCCAGGCGGGCCTTCGGGGTGAGGGGTGTGTTGGGGTGAGGAAACATATGAACACATCTCAGTCTTTGGAGAACTTGGTTACTGTTAACCTGAATGTCATGACCCCTGACTCAGAGTCTGGCACCAAATGGATTATGGGTTCAATAAATGTTTGTTGAATGAATAAACAAGCCCCATTTGCAGAGGGGTATTCACTGTGCATTCATTCAATCAGCTTTTATTGCAGACCGCCTGTGTGCCAGGTCTCAAACTGCTTGCGCACACAGATACACACAACTCGCCTGTGAGGGTCTGGTCTGGTGTGCCTTGGGGCTGGAGAAAGTCAAAACTGAAGGGCGTGGGCTTTCAGCCCTAAGGGAGCCATAGCTGTTGCTGGGTCTAGTCTGGGATGCCAAGGAAAGAAGCCAGAAGTGGGAGGGAAGCCAGAATTGGGAGGGAAGCCAGTTTAGGGAGGAGACCACTCTGGGGCATGTCCTGGGAAGGCTGGGGGTCCCAACCTGACACTGCATTCATAGGACAGGCACATTGCCATGTCCCTGGTGTCTGAGAATGAGGCGGCATCACTCTCCAGATTTTATAGGTGAGGGACAGATGATGTCGTCCACAGAAGTGGTGTAATGGGGTCAAGGGACAGAATGGAGGGTAAACTATTCAGAGATCCCAGCACCATCCCCTGTCCTTAGTGAAGCCTTATCAACAAGAAGGGAAAGTGGGTGTAGTGAGGCTGGGAATTCCAGAGGCAACAGGACCCTTTCCACTCCTGACTTCCCTTTCTCTGTCCCAGCCCCTCCCACGCCCACCCATCTCTCCTTCCACAGCTGAGACATGTGTAAGAAAACTGACATTTATTGACAACCTAGTGTATGCCAGGCACCATGCTACATCTTTTAACAAACACGAAATGACAGACTTAGTTGTACCTGGAACAGAATATGTTGCTCAATAATTGTTTATCAAGTAAATGAATTAACCGCAATCTTTATTTTGCAGGTCAGGGGAGGAAACTGATGAACAAGTAAAGAACTCATTCTAAGTTACACAGTCAGAAATTGGCAGCTCTGGGGACTGACATTGCCATTATTATTTACACTGTATATAAGTGCTACTATTTATAGAAATATACTATGTGATTGTTAGGCACTTTGCATAGTGTCATCAGGGTTTGGGCCCTGACTTCAACTCTGTTTTAGGCCAGACTTTCAGAACCACCCCTGGTTCCTGGTGGGTCTGGGGCACAGACTGGGTGACTAGCAGAAAAACAGCTCCAAGTCCAAAGCGTCCTTCCCCCTTTCCATTTCTCTGGCAGAGCCAAGAAGACTAGCCTGCCCTAGGCCCACTAAATGTCCTGGCCCTTTCTGCTCTAGGCTAACCTGGCAATGGGTGGGGCTGGTGTATCTAGAAAAGGCTTCTGGGAGGAGGGAGGATTTGACATGGAGCTTCACCTGAAATAGAACAGAGCTGGGTCACCTAGAAGTGGGAATGAAGGGCACGTGGAGCTGGTGGAACTTAAGACGGTGGAGAAAGCCCTCATTAAAGGAGAGGTGCACATTGGTGCAAAATGGGAAAGATAAGAGCACCTTCTGCAAGCGACTTCTGAGTCCCCAGAGCCCCACTCAGAGCCACACCATCCTCTTAACTGTGGGGGAAGGAGCCAGGGTTTCCTGTGTAGTCTGATACTGGGAGAATAGCTTTCTGATAGCTCAGCAACAGTTATCCAGTAGAGACCATCATGATAGAGACCCACTCTCATGAACAGGTAAGAACAGCACACAATTAGCACCTTGG